GAAATTTGGTTGTTACGTATCAACGATCATGATTGATCTTACGGTTAGATAAGAATGATACATTAGCTAACGTGTTTAACTCTGGCGAACGAATACGGATCGTATTCGTGGCTGGATATTGCAAAAGAAGAAGAATATAAAGAGATTTCGATGTTATGAGTAAGACATGTTGTAAGAGAAATTTAAGGTAAACAGCAAAAACAAGGTGTAGTCTTACGATAAAGCCGTTCTGGACTGAGCATTCTCATAACGTGTGGAACGGCATGATTGAAGAGCGGGGCGCGCATGGTGTTTCTCACGGGAAATTTTCTGCTCGGTTCCATGAGGAGACTTCCGTTCTTGAATGCTCGCATAGTGTTCGCCCATGCTTCGCTACTGGAGTATATGAAGCTACCATCGATCCAGCTTGTTACTTTATTTATCTGCAACCTCACATATTCAGAGCTATTTTTCATGTTATTGTTTATGAGCCAATATTTTTCTTGTACGTCATCGTCGCCAGTCATGCATGTAAAACACTGTGTCATCTATTTTATTTTTATGAATGTCCACGGGGTAAACGTAATTCTATTGATACGATTGAAAATCGTGTTCATTCACATTTATTTTATTTTCATTTTATCCAATGAAGTCACGTCTCTAACGGTTTTTTTTTATTAGATTAAATTATGTTTTATTTATATAGTCGCGCGAAGTTGGAATAAGAAAGTCATCAATTTTTAATGGATGCGGAAAAGTAGGAAATTACCTGTTCGCGAGGGCTGTTCGGGCTATGTCCAGTTTGGCGGTCGTAATCGGCACGTAGGAAAGGAATGTACTTGTTACCTTGGCACTCCTTGTCGAAAACCGGATCACATTTATCCACGTCGATACGATGGAACTCTATAGGGCAGCCACTTTCGCTGGCCATGATTATTTCCGACGTGATCAGTTGCCCTGAAATGATTTCGTTACCTATACTAAAATTCAATTCTTGGTGGTTAAATCTTGATGTTATACATTGAAAGTTAGAAGGGATTAGTCATAACAGGATTTGTCAAACAGGACCTAAACTTATACGCTTCCGGCTATGGATTACGTATTCTATTTATATCTATCAGTGTAATAGACATTAATCTTGAGTAAACTCAACTTCAAGTATTCTCTAGAATTAATGGTTGATAAATATTTATAGAATCGAGACAATCTTTACCGAAAAAAGCGAAAAGAGCAGTCCGGTTCTTAACGGAAGGTAAACCTTCATCTCCTTGCATGAACAAATCGCTTAGTTTTCTCGGCGAGGGTCTGTCTTGGCCAGCTAATGCATAAACACCATCGGAATAAGCTGCAGGTACCTTTCGTATCAGCCTGCTGCCTATGAAGTTTAGAAATTGAATTAAGTGATCCTTCAGAAAGCTTTGGTAAGTAAATATTTCGAGTACTTGCCGATGGATCCCCAATTTGGATGGGCCAAGTTGTTGTACCATCCATCGTATCTTTGTTTCTCCACATCATTGTAAAATGCTCCTAAAGTTTTTAAGATAAACGATTAGTCGGGTGTAATATTTCAATGGTATTCCCATTAAAAATATTTTTTTTTTATTTTAAATTAACAAATTTTACATAATATTATGTTAATTATTAAGATTTATGTATAATATTTAGTAAGAAAATACCAGCGAGTAGTTTACAATTATAAAATATGCAACGCGAGTACCGTTAACGAGGCAACGTATGAATGTTTAGAAACGAAAGCTTCATAAAACGGAGTTCAGCCAGGCGAGCTTGTCTGGCAAGAGCGAAAGTTTGTTGCGCGTCTAGCACCTACCAGTTTCAATGAGTAACACGATCCAGAGAACCCAGAGAAACAAATGCAACCGTTTGAAGAAACGGACCAAAAATATACGTTTCTCTGTCATCGTTGTTCTTCTTTACTCTTCAGGAAGATTTAAATCGGTGCCATATCTCATCTGAGCGAAGGAAACCAGGATCTGATGGATCTCTCCAGGTGACCCAAAAAGAAAAAGAAGAATTTCACGTTTTCTCAGCGACAATCCGAACGATTCATTTTCCTTGTTTCACTTTTCTTTCGAAGCCCACAAATTGAATCACCGAATAGAAGGTGGGCACATTTGAACATAAAATCCGGAGAATCGGTTGGAAACGTCGAATTGAGTTATCTCACGAGTTGCTTCAAGATAGGAATGTTAAGCAAAAAGTTAGGAAAACCAACAATGCGGGTACGGGTAAATTCACAACGTCACGTGCGTACCGGCCAAGTTGAAAAAAAAGTCTTGCGCTGGCTCCCGAGAATCCTTGTCCACGATCAGCGATCAGACTTTTTTCACTTTGGTGTATAAGACAAGGAAGATGAAGATAACGTTGAGGATTTATTCAAAGAATTGTTCAAGAACGACAATTTTTCTATTTTTCTTTTTGTCTTTTTTTTTCTTGTTTTCTTAGCTTTTTGTAACGTGGTTTGGGCCAAGAGCGTGATCGAGTTGTTGAGAATCAAGCCACGAACCGACACCAGCCGATCTTAGCTGCACGGTGAAAGTCGCCGGTCTACTTGCTTCGTTCTTACCAACCGCCACCACCAGATTACCTTCTCCTTCTCTCTTCCCATATAATGGGTCTTCTCTCTCTTCTTTCAACAACATAACGAACGAGCCTATCCGTAAAGTTCTATACTATACGTAAAACCTCTCTAACTAAAGGAGACCCCCACCAAGTTTCTTACTCGCAAGCGATTCCTTTCTCCAGGCGGCACGTTTTACCGAGGCGGCATCGCTCGTGACGTCATCATATGCGCAGGCCTAGTTTTTGAGTCCGCGGCACCGATTACCCAAGGCAAAACCTCTCCCTAGTCACTCCGTTCCTCGAGTTCGTTTCAAGGTCGACGCTTCACGACGATCCTCCTGCTAGCCTCCTGCATCTACGTTTCACCTTCTTCTTTTTTTTTTTCCTTCTCTCCTATACTTTCGACGAAGGAGAGGATCCTCTCAACGACGACATTCAAGCAAACCTCGTCGCCGTGTCTGCCTTTGAGATATTTTTTCCTGTGTCTCTTTTTACCTCCTGGATCCGCATGAGTCATATTTTCGAAATAGCCTAGTAGAAGTCTATCGCAATGTTTTCTTTTCTTCTTCTTACTGTTTTTGTTGCTAGAAATCCGATGCACGAGAAAGCTTATTTGTAAATTTATAGTATAGATAATCTCTCATCAGAGCTAGAAAAAAATAAAAAGCATTTAGTTCCATCAGTGAAATTGAGATTGGAGTTTTGACCTTCCTTTTTTTTTTTTTTTACATAATATACATTCAATTACATATGCAAAATATGTTTTTACTTACAAGAAATTAAATGGTATTTGCAGTCATCCGCATTGTCCTGTTATATCACATTAAATACATATGTATTATGTATGATCAAAAAAAAAAAAAAGAATACAGAAGATCTATCGAGTGTCATTTCTCATGGATAAGCAAGTTTTCTTTCGCGATAATCCGTATCGTTTCCTCGTCACTTTTTTAACCGTTCATGGTTTCGCAACCTTGACGAGGAAGTTTACTTTTCAAATTCAAGCAAAAATATCTATAGTTTGAGTTAATATAAATTGATTGAAGTTTAATACATTCTTATCTCATTTTTAATTTTTTTGTTGTTATACATATTAAGATCATTCTTAAATTTAATGTTCATTTTGTAGGATACCATTTGTTTTTGTTGTTTTAATTAAAAACTGTATATGGTATACAGTTTTCATCACATATGCGTGATATTTGGTGATCACATTTTTTTGGCCGAGAGTTGCAGGTACAATGTCTGTATGTATTTATATATATATATATATATATGCAAGTATATAAGTACCTATGTATATACTGAGATTTATGTTATGACTCAATCCACACAAAGAGCGATCGCGCCTACTCCGGCTACCGGTCGATTTTTATCGCCCTTGGCACGAATCGTCAAAGACGGTTACATTTGGTGGAGATCGTCCGCGAGTGTATATACTTTCCTCGTTAAGACCATACGTTCCAGTCGAAATACGTCTGTATCTGCGTGTCTTGAATACATTTTTAACGATTTATACGGCCGAGGTCTTTAACCTTTTATTCGACAAAATAACGGCTTTTTTCTACCAGGAAATAAAGGAAACTTTGGACGATGTATTCAAGAAAGAAAAAATATTAGATTACGTACGCATATAAAATTAAATATTGATTTACTTTATCCAATATTACAAAATCCAATTACAATGCACATCATTATTAATTTTCGATTTTCTTCGTTATTTGTCCAATGTAAATTATATGAAAAAGTTTGATTGTGAAATAAATATATCGTTTTTTCGGACGACGGGTTTTCAAATTAGTTATTTTTAATGATTTTTTTCTTTTTACTTTTTTTTTTTTAAGTCACTCGTGTAGTAATTAAATAATTAATTTTTTCTTAGCTTATATATATATGTATGTATGCATATAAGTTGATCATTTAATTTTGTTTATTTTATCTTCGTTTGATTTAGTACTTACAATAAGTTTAAGTAAAGAAAGAGTTTCCTGATATTATGTTTTATCAAACAAAAAATTCTCTATAATAATAAGAATATTTTTAATATCCTGTTCAATGTTCGATATTCAATATTGACGGTTGCAATGAAGAATCTTTGATGCGAGCTTTTTTATAATCCATGGAAATGCAAAAATATACAGGTTGGGGTACTTTTACTTCGTTATGTAAACGAAGCCGTGGCTATTGATGTTATAAGTGTCGTATAAGTCATGTCACAAGAGAAATCCATTAGGTGATAAAGAAAAGAAGAAAGCAAGAAAAAAAAGCTTTTAAATGCATTCTTCCTTCCGATTCATCGAAGCGAGGATTTAATTGTTTTTTCTCTTATCAGGAAACACAGAATTATTTTACGAATGGCACGATTTATATATGTATTTATGTCTGTATATATGTATATATATATATATATATATATATGTATATGTATCGTACACGTTTGTCATGATTTATAAAAGAAAGTAGAGAGAAATTGGAAATGAGAAAAAGAGAGATAGAATGAATGGTCCGTTAAAAGAGAATCAATCCGTGAAAAGTTTTTCAATCGAGTAGAAAAAAATAAATTGTGAATGAACGCATGTACGCGAGTTCGAGCTTTGACAACGCACACACACACGCACCACACAGACTCACACACATAAACATACACACAAAGAAATGTGAAGACCAATGGATCGATAGATGTATAGGTGGATGGATGGATGGATGGACCGAAAAAATAAATAAAAAGAACAAAGATCATTTGGAAGTCGATCCAGGGTAATAATAGACGACTGCCGGCGCTGGTAATTGCCAATGGGCGGCATGTAATTCTATTAATTGTAGAAGCGTTTTCCTCACGGATGGAAGAATCGTCTCGTCAGCAAGAAAGGCGTCTCGTAGACTTCCAAGAAGTTGTTGAAGTTGTGCTGGTAATTCAACATCCAGATCCTTACCAATGCAAGTGAGAATGAAGAAGAGACAATCCGTCTACGGTGAATAGGGAATTCGAAGTAACGTATCAAGATCATGAAGTTATGACATTGAGATAAGTAGATCACTACTACTCGGTCAAGGTGTGATGAGCTGAACGAAGGTGAGTAACGATATTAGTATTAATGCAATATGTGCATAGATCGATACGCGTATTCTTACATTCATTGTAATTATAAGAAATACTTTTTTGTATGTTTTTTTTTTTTTTAAATAAATTACCAACATCAATATAATACAGCGAGGGGGGGAGACAAAAGTATTCGTATAGTAGTAATAAAATGTCCATGTTCCTTTTTTTCCTTCGCTGTATAATATATGTATACATATATTTTTTTTTTGTAACAAATAGAATTATTTGTATTTCACCTTCATTCAAATAAAAAAAATTGTTTATTCATACCTCGGCGAGAGAATTTACGACCGGAGGCTGCAAACAATCCTGACAACATTTCCAGAGTAACGTGAGAAGTACACGGCCCGGTGGAACTCCTTCTTGTTGCGTCTTCAGTTGAAGTTGTCGTCGTTTCAGCTGCAGTGCAACATAATTACATAGATAAACGTAATACATACCTATTATTCGCATATACATTTTTGAGTTAAACAAGGTTGCACAACATGTTGGTAAGTAAGCCATTGAATCAAGGAACAATTACTTGCCGCAGGTAATAAATGCTATGAATTCAACGAGTTTTTTTTTATGCGAAGCTTTTTTTGTACCTGTAAGAGTTACTCAGGAGACACGGATTTGATTTGCTTTTTTTGTTTAGTTAGTCGCTACTAGAAGACACAAATCAATTCAGTAGAAGATACATTCTCCACACCTGACAGTACATCTCGTTGAGGAACATCATGAAGGCCGAATAACGGTGACAACCTGACTCATCTCGAAGTATTCTCGCACGATCTTGGTACCATTGTTGACATATGTTCAAGAGTGATTCCAAGAAGGTCTCGTTACTTTCTTTCTGGATAATAAGATATCAACGTAAGTAAAAAAACGAATTTTATTTGATTAGATTATATATTCAAAGAAATATACGTTTGAATTGGTACCTCTATGATAGTGATGCAAATCTTTGCAGCTGGTTCTGCATATCGACGATTTTCAACGGTCCGTTCTAATATATGTCGTACGAGTTCCATAAGCGAACGTGCATTCAATAGATTTGGATCTGAAGGGCGAATATTTTATGAACATTTTCTCAAACTTTTTCCGAACGATAATATTTCTTAAAATATAGAAGTTTGACATTGACGTCATTTACCATCGATGGCTCTTAAGAGAGTGTCTTGAACCGGGCACGGAAACTTTCCTAATTCCGAAGCATCAGAGATATTAATTGCTTTAGCAGCGAGAACATCGGCAGCGTTCAGACTTTTCGAACGTTTCAAACCGTAAGTGGACACGAATGATAGAGACTTCGTAAGTCTTCCTACTTTCGGTGTGCTAGATTTCCCTTCATTGTGGTCCACATTGAAGTGAACTCTATTTGTACCCTGTCAGACGAAGACAATAACTTTTCTAATCCATGTTATTCCAAACCTTTCAATATATCAAATTTGCTTCTGATCGGACATTATAGAAAACTTGTCAATTGTCTTATCTAATCAAGCTTACGTGTAAGATATTTCCGCTGGAAGCAACCGTTTCCAAAGGATGTCCCTGTCTCGACGAACTCGAATGATGGCTACCATGAGAATGTCTCTGTTGATGTAAGGGATGATGCAGTTGCTGTTGATGTTGCTGTTGTTGCTGAGCGTAAAGATATCGATGAACGTTCCCACTCGATTTGCTGTGCTGTAGATAATACGGGGTACGCTCTGAAGCATTCGTCCGAGACCTGATCCAGACATGCCCGCTTAAATGTCAGTCTATTTAAATGTCAAACTATATGTTAATTTGTATTCCTGCAATTACATAACGCGTGCATCGAAAAGAAAAAACTAAGAAAGTAGATTGCCATCGGATGATTATTTTCTTACTCATTGCATCATCAGGATGATTAAATCAAACTGTCGAACGGTATTCGGATCTTCAAAATTTTAACGTACGACGTTGAATATAAATAAGTAACGTAACGTTTCACTAGCGAGAGAAAGTATTTTAGTTTTCATTCGAAACATCCACCACACACGTATACATTTTCTACGTGCGTACAAGCATTCTCATATTCGATTTAAAACTATCAATGACCAGGCCAGTACGAATCGAAAACGATTCATTTGACTATTTTAATCGATTCGTATGCATCCTCGATACGAGCTTTCAATCGTTTTCTGTTGTTTCAAAATTCAATTTGAGCTAAAGAGAATAATATGCCCTCTTGTGAATTTGATTGTATCTTAAAATAGATAAAAAGAATAACGCGATTTTTCTTGGTTATAATGTAGGTTTCAAATCCGGCATTTCTTTTATACGTCTTCTAAGGTCTGTCCCTGTGTGTAACGCGGACTCACTTAGATGGATGCGAATCGTTCTGTTTCATAGTGAACTCCTTAGCATGTACGTTCAATCTTGGATTAGTGACGTTCGCCGTTGTCCCTTCCGTTCTTCCACCTACCAAGGTTACGAAAGAAGTTTTTTAAAAATGTCTTGAGTCATAAATCGACGATGAATTAAATATTTATTCGACGAATATATTAACATTATGAAATGATAAATGAATTAATAAATTTACCTGGTGGTCGATAAATCTCTAAAGATGGTTTAGTCTTAGTACTATTTATGTTATTAGTTCCTTTCGACTGAATTGCATCCTTCATCTAAAAAAAATATAAAAACATACATTGTTCATAATATACAATTTTATTTAAAGCTTAAACTTAAATCACTTAGTAATGGTGAATATACTGCAAATTTGTAAAATTTAATTGTTATATCATTAAATCGATTAAAACGGTATAAATAACATTTTAATTGTTATAGTTAAAGAAAGGGAAACGCACCAATTCGTGATTAGGTTTTAGAAGCAATAAATTAAAGCACGCGTTATAATACGTGACCGGTTAGTGTTAATATCAAACAATTACATAGGGATTTAAAGGGGCGAGAAAAGCAATAACGGCACGTAATAGAATAGGTAGTTGTTTTATTGTTTCGAGATTCCCTTTCTTTCCCAAGCTGTTTTTATTAACTACTTGAATTCTCTCCCAACAATTGTATGTATTCGTGTACTATCATATGTATATGTAACATATATATGTACGTTTGTATATATATATATACATACCTTCTCAGTTACATTCGTACTTCGAAATCATATTTTTCGTTCGCACGTAAAATAGACTTTGACGAAATAAAAGTTACCTCTACAATACTCCAATATTGCTTCATAAGAAACAGAAAAATACTGTGGGAATAAAAATCTCGAAAAAATTGATGAAGATCGTATATTATTTTTTCGAACAAGACAAAAGCGTCTATTTGAATTTCGCGCCAGTAATGATGGTTAATGAACCGACGCGCGTAAGCGAGTGGTACACGCGTTGACGTTGATTCCTCGAATTGGACGAAGGTTCTTTTCAACGACGATGACTACCACGACATTTGACTTTAAACGTTCATCAATGCCATATACTACTGTGTATAGAAAGTGTCGAAGCCAAAAAGAGAGAGAGAGAGAGAGAGTGAGAAAAAAGAGAGGAAGAAAAAGAAAAGGGCAGACATATAAAAACTAAAAGAAAAAATTGATAAAGGGAAAGAAAGAGAGAGAGAGAGAGAGAGAGAGAGAAAAAGAAAGAGAAAAAATAGCAAGGACAGATAGACGAGCATGAAAAACGTAGGGGGATTAAACTTACAGTGAAGAACGTGAGAGGATCATCCTTTTAAAGATCCTTGAAAGTATCGGCAAAGGTAAATCCACGTCTTGGAGCGCAAACAACGCTTTTCTAGCAAAAGCGCGTTACGGAAACGCGTCACCGCTCTTTGGCGTCGAAAGAAGCGCGCTTGGTTKCTTGTTCGTTATTTCGCTCGCTTCTTCGTTCGTTCGTTTCTTCTATCGACTATTGTTCGGTAGTTGTGATTAGTCCGACGTGAAAAGAAAGACGATGCGGCGAAGCGACAAAGAATACGAGAGAGTGATATTCTTACGTCGTGACACCCGCGTAAGTTCAAGAATGACGAGAAGATATGGAAGAAAGGAAAAGAGAATTAATAACAGACAAAAAGAGACAAAGAGTGAGTGAGTGAAAGAGAGAGAGAAAGAGAGAGAGAGAGAAAGAGAGAGAAGAAAGTTATATAGAAAGAAAAGGAAAATTCTCTGTACACCTTTTTTCCGCGTATCTCGAACACTACTACGGTAACGTTGTCAGCAGTAGGAAGAGAGAACCGACTCCAATGACTGGGTACTAATAATAGATATGGCAGAGCCAAGAGAGAAAGAGTGAGAGAGAGAAAGAAAGAGAGAGAGAGAGAGAGAGAGAGAGAGAGAGAAAGAGTACACTAATGCACTTAAGCGAGAGCGAACAAGAATATCTATAGTCAGGATATGTGTGTTTGTTCGCCGCTACTGGCCTCTTCTACGCTACGAGTATTAACGTTCACTGGTGCGACTAGTAGACTGAAATATCCAACAGACTCATCGGGATGAGATCCTAGTCTATTCTTCTCACTCTTTCTCACTATTTCTCTCTTTCTCTTCCTTACTCTCTTTATTTCTTTCTTTTGAGTTAGCGCGTACATCGTGCACCTTCGCCGTCCAAAAACTCCGCGCTTAAATCGTCAAAACAAGATGGCGACACGATTACCACGCCGAAGAATATGAGAGAGAGAGAGAGAGAGAGAGGGAGGAATGAAACACTGAGGTCTTAAAACGTGAAAATCCATGCTTAACCTGTGCGGTATCGTCGATTTATATACTCCAATGGAGTCTTTAAGGATTTTCAGTGAAAATTTGTTAAGTTCCTTCGTTAAACTCGGCTCTCGGATTTCTTAGAACAGAAACAGAGAAAGAGAATGAGAGTGAGAAGAAAGGAAAAGTTTTTGGAACTTCTTCCTCGGAGTACTTTTCACTCATTCTTTCTCTCTCTCTCTCTCTCTTTCTTTCTCTGTGTGTTTGGCTTTGTGTTCTTCCTTATTTCTTCTTTTTTCCTTCGTTCGTTCGTTTTCAGAGATACGGAATTACAGTATTATGCTCGAGAAGGTTCGGCTCCATTGTTTAAGGATAGAGAAATTTTACTAAAAAGTTTTTCGAGAGGAAACGTTTTAACGTAAGAAAACGTTTCTCTATTAGTTTCCATTGTTATTTTGACTTTTATTCTTTAGTCTTATTAAAATATCTACAATACTCTTTTCTATATATTTGTTAGAATTTATTTGAATCGCTTTGCATTTTCATCATTATTTTGTAATATTCAAACTCCCATATAAGGACCATCTCGTTCGATAAATATCGAGATTTATACTTCGATAGTTTTAGAGTTCGATACTTTTATGGAAATAGAATTAGTCTCGAGATCGATGACAAATGTCTCTCCTTTTCTCTCTCGCTCTTTTTCAATATCTTGTATCCTCGTCACGTTCTTTTTGACGTCATCCGTATAAAAAATCGAACAAACTTATAGATATTGAACGACGAACTACTATTGCTACATTTTCAACGAAAATAATGCAGACTAGTTAGACGTTTATGTAAAACGGAAGCAATCATTCTATTTACGAAAATCGTAATAAGCTGTACCATATATATATATGAGAATATGTATACATGTATGTGTATACATGTATGCATGAAAAGAGGAAAACTGAAATATCGTTGACACTCATCAAGAAATTCTCATGCGATGATGTAGTTACGTCTTTACGTATATTATGCTGACTATAGAACAATACGATTCGAATTTGCATTCACTAAAGGACACCTGTAATCTTTTTTCAATTTAACGTAAAACAAAAGAAACGATTAATCTAAATATTGTTCGAGAAAGTAGTTTTATAACAAATGTAATCCTTAACAATTCCATTCCTGAGTCTCATATATAATATAATATACGAAATAAATAAAAATAGAAAAACAAGCATGATCGTGAATATTATCGATAATATATATTATATTATTTTATTTAATCTCACCTTTGCACCGAGTTTATTAACTAGTCGTGTCTTCACAGTTGAATTTGTCTTGATCGGTTTTGTTGTAGCTGTACATCGCATCGTATGCAAATGCATCCGGTTGATCTATAGATGTTGGTTGCTCTAGGGAACTTTCAGGAAAACTATTTATTCGTTTAAAACGTTTGAACATTAGAGTTAAAATATTGCGGGAAAACTATTAATACGAATTCGCATGTAACAATTACGTTTAACGTTAGTTGATATATGGTAACTTTAATAATTATTATAATTATTAATTTTAAAAAATCCTTTAGCAATTTGATAACGATAGTGCGACACGTAAAAGAATCGAATAACTGACTACTAATATGTTGTAATGAATAGGAGCGGGAGAGACCATACGAAGTGATCGTATAAGCGCCGTACATGGCGCTCGATTCTATACTCGAATCTCGATCGATAATCGAAATGAAATCGTTTGTTGCGATATCGTCATTTTGTATGCCAGGCAGTGCGATTGAATGTTCAGTACTGAATCCTATCAAATATTAATATAGATTTAATCTTTTGTGGTATATTTTCTTTTGTAAGCTTTTAATTACTATGGTTTATTTTAATTTGCTAAGTATTATTAATAAATGCTGTATTTCGTTTTTTAGGTTAGATACGATGATCAAGAAAGAAGTAATATTTTGCTGCTTCAGAAATGATGTGGGAAAAAAGTATTACAGGTATAATTCTTTGATGCTTGTATTTATTGCAGGTTCAAGGAAATTAACCTGATTAGTTGGAACTATGAAATAGGATGAAGCGGTAACTGCAAGAACAATGCTGAGAAAATTATAAGAAGACCAGTCTAATATCTGAGGTAATAGAATTTACCAATATTATTTTACTCTTTTCATTTGTTTTCTTTATTTTGTTCTATTTTATTTATTTTAATTATATTATTTATTCCTTTAATTGCTGGTTTAAATAGGTAATTGTGGATTAATTTAAATTGTATATTAAATTCTCTCCAATACGTTGAAATTGGTAGATCTTTATGTGTTTGCATACTAGAAACAGGAACACTTGTAGCAAATAGAAGCTTTCATTATTTCAATAAATATCTACTTTAGTTAAAAGCAGTTTATATTAGAAATATTTTTCTTATTTAATTGTTCATTATTTATATAAATTTGTATAAAATGTTGAAACTAATACGTATCACTTTATACAGGAATTTATAAATATTTAGTATATTTTATTATTAGTCAAGTTATAGATACAATGGTATCACGGTAAGGAAATGATTGTAATATAAATTCTAGAGTAATTTATGGTAATAAGTATAAAAATTATATTACGTAAAATAAACTTAAATGTTAAATCCATTTAAAAAATGTTAATGCTATTTGTTCTGCTATGCCAAATAAGTTGCTCAGTAAGTATAATTTTTAAGCAATGATGTAATTTTATTTATCTTTTTTTTTTTTAATAAAAATAAATCACAATTATCTACTTTTAAGTTTAAAAGTAATGTTTGTATCATCTATGATCAAGTTAATTTAGATTAGTGGTGATACCCTATTACTATCATTTCTAGTAAAAGAAGTTGCCTTTAAAAACAATTTTGATAAATTCATTTAGATACATCGGTTAAATCGATTTAAGAAGGATCCAGACCTTAATAAAATTCGTCTTATCTTACAGAAAGGATTACCAGGTTTTTTCTTCTTCGTGGATTCGAAAGAAACCGATAGTAAAGCTTAGATTCTTTGGTGGTCCCTTTACAGGTATTACATTTTTACGATTAAGAATTGAAAGTACTCCGAACGAATAATTTATTTTCATTCGGTTGCATCTCACACCCCATGAGCATAGACCATTCACTTTACAAATATATTTTACACCGTCGTTTGGTAAAGTTCTTATCTCGTGGAGTTCACCTTCGTGAAATCGTTTCTTATCTCGACGAACGTACTTTAGCTACTTCATCTTATAGGAGAGACTATGCGTCGGACGTTGGCGCCGGTTTTTGTCGTTGAAGTTCTATCGCTTGGTAACTCGTCGATGAACTGTTCTGTCTCGTCGTAGTCGCTATCGTCATTGCCTATCAACGAAATATTACGTTATTATATACTTGATATAATATTAAGTTATTGCTCGTTAATTTTTCATCTTATAAGTTAGTATAACCATATAAGATATTTCATAAGTTAACGTTTATATGCTTTAGAAGGTAAAGAGTACAAGGTGATGAACGTTTACAACAACGGAAGACGAGAACTTCCACAAGACACCGTAAAATCTACTTAAATGCAAAACCATTTTAAAGAGTAACGCCCGTTACGAAGAACTCTATAGACACACGGAGTCGAGCATAAACGCACGTTATGGAAAATAGCTTCCCTCGTGGAATTCAGGGGTAAAGAGAGCAGTATTTTATCGATCGGAGCGTTCCCTGCAAATCGACAAAACCGTTATCGGTTCGTCGTCTTGAAAAGGAGAACGAAAAGGAGAAGGAGATCGAGATCGGCCAGTGTATTTGGCCGCTCGTAAAAATAAATCTGCCGGCATAATCCGTTCGAAATGATAGCGACTGTCCTCGTTTTAGCCTTGGACGATGGATATGCTGAGAGAATTTTCCACTATGGTTTTATTTCCTTGCTTTCACGAAACGAAGGAAGGAACGCGGTAGTAAGAAGACTCAACCAGGATTATTATTATGATTATTTTCATTACAGACTTTCTCAAACGTCACAGTTCTGATTGTTACGGTTATTACAGTTGGTGGTGTCGCCAGACAATTACGGATTACCGTGACAAAAAATAGCTACATCGGATTTCAAAACTCGAAGATATTCTTTTTCCCTTACTGACAAAATGCATACACGCATATACGTAGATACATTCCTTTACATAAATCAATGTTGTTTCTCTACGTAGCACGGAATTATCGCTTTTTATTATCGTCTCAAACGTTGGGCTCGGCGGGATGCTTCGAAACGGGTATGCGCATAAATATATGCTTAGCCGAACGAGATTTCGAGGGTGGCAGGCTAAAGCCACGGACTCAAGGCAATAAAACTCTCCGGAATTTACACCGAAATTAGACTTTACCGCCCTGCCAGGTTCATCCCGAGCGACAAACCCCTCCGTCTCTATCCACCCTTATCAAGGAAACAGGAAAGGGTTGGAAAGTCAGCGAATAAGAGAAAGAGACAGAGAGAGAACGACCGAGCCAGTTGGTAATTCTCCTACACCACTCCGACAGAATGGCAACTTTCTCATTCCGTTCTCTACGAAATAGAACGTTACACCGTACCATTTCTGCACCGTCGCTTTCCTCTACTCCTCTCTCTTTCTCTCCCTCCCACCCTCCCTCTCTCCCTCTATATTTCTCTATTTTTTTTCTTCCTTTCTTTATTTCTCTTCTATACTCATCTTCTCTATTTTCCTATACGATCCTTTGCCACTCGCCTTTTTCCTTCATATTCTCTTTCTCTTTCTCTCTATGCGAAAAGCTCTCAGAGACCATAAAAACCAGCAGTTCATTTCCCTAATGCGAGCGCTCGAGTCGTGCCAAACGGAGATGGGGAACTCGTAGGGCAGTGACGATGGCCCGAATCCTACCGCGAACGGCTTCGTCCCTTGGCTTTAAGGGTGATCGAGCTTACCTTCAGGACTTTTTCTTCCTTTTCTTCTTTTATGGTGTTTTTTTTTTCTTTTTTATTTTTTTTTAACTCCTTTTTCGTTCTCCCGCTTTTCTCGAAGATCACGTAATGCCCGAGACGTCGGTGATCGAGTTCTTCTGAAAAAAAAGGAAAGTAAAAAAAAAGATGTTGGACGATAAAAAGGGTGAAAGGTTTTACGTGAAATTGGGCTTGAGAAAGAAATTAAAGAGAAGAAAAGAGTTGGAAGTAAGAAAAAAAAATAAAGCTAAAAAATTAAGACTACAGTAGTTTTATTTTACATGCCAACGCGTTACCTTACCTTACGTCTGTTCCCTGTTACGCGGAAGCAAATTTGTACATCTAATATTATACTACTATTATAATAAATATAAGTATAATATACACAAATATATTAGTATAACATGAATAATATTAGAAGAGACCATATAACTCGATGAAGTATCGATGACAAAGTACATTGTAGATCCTTGTTGGATTTGTATTGATATTCTCTACAATTTTTGTTGAGTTTAAAATATTGATTTCCATTGAAAAAAAATTGTTATGACTTCCGTATCTTGACAAAAGCGCATTCTATGAAATAACTGTAATAAATATTACGTTTCCTTTTGAAAAACTAGCAATTTTGAATTGAAATATTTTTTTATAAGATAAATAGGGTTGGAGATGTTTGGTAATATCATTTAAAACGAGACATCCGGTATATTAATAAGAATAGTGCTGTAATATTAAATATTCTTCTTTCTTTCCCATCTTACTGCGCAAGAAAATATTTTTTCTATTTCTTTTCTTTTCTTTTGTCTCCCTAAGATATCCCAGCACGTTCGCCTTAAGAAAGCTTTTAATTTCTACCTCCGAAATTTTCTCCCCTATTCTTAAGAAGACAAATGAGATGTTTTTTTTTTAGAGACCAACGCACGTTGATATTTCCAGAGACGTCACGTGTTTCACTAGTTTTCGAGAAAGCACTATTATCGTTGCGAACGAGAAAATTATGACGAGAGAATTCATGCATGCGAACGTGTCCAACACACATCTTTTCACGTGATTCCAATTCGTAAAAAGAGTGAAAAAAGGGAAGGCGAGTGGAAAGGAGAAAGGAGGAAAGAAAGAAAGAAAGAAAGAAAGAGATTGTAACGCGAATGAGTAGCGACGTAAAATTACCAGGCAAAGTAGCATCACGTAATAACAAAAACACCCCACTGGAATGTCATAGCGTTATCCCTTGTTTACCACTGTTTTTTTTTTCTTCAAATTATATGTACTCCTTTATGTATTTCAAAGTAGTTCGAAACTTTTTCGCTTTCTTGAAAAAACAATATATTTTTTGTTATAAATTATATTATTTTAATATGTGTGTGTGACAAATAATTATTATTAAATTAATATAATTAAATATGAACCACACATTAATTTCTAGAAGATAATATCAACATTTGTTAAGGAAATATGTTTGAACAGTACTTATAATTATTTAATCTATTGCATATTCTAACTATCCCCCCCATCCCTAGTTCAGATTGATTAAAATGTAAAATTTGAAATAAAATTTTAATTTCTACGATATATTGGATACTATAAGAAAATAACTAGACCGTTAATCGATAAGATTAGAATCAATTTGACATTATAGACCGTGTCTAAGCGATTAAGCAGGAATCAGTGACAGTGTCGGTTAAACACTGAAACCAATTGGTGCGATGGCAAGCTCGTCGATGCTGTTGACGTTTTCCTCGTCAGGAGAAGGCGGAGAAGTAAGAGAAGGAAGATAGAGGTGGAGTAAGAGGAAGAGAGATAAATCGAAGGGAGTAACGTTTTGCTTTTAACTAGGTCAAACCACAGATTACTTTTTGGCTAACTACGAGACGTTAGCAGAGGAAAATGCAACTAGCACGCACAGCTTGCGTGCGTATCATATATGTATATGTGTGTTATATAATATCAGTGGTGAAGGTGATGGTGTTGGTGGTGGCGGTGGTTGCGGTGATAGAAAGGGGGTGGTTTAGGGAGTAGTAGAAGCCCTCGACGTTGCGTTACATAGCGGTAAGCCTCGTACTTGGCCATGATCGCGTGCAGGTGCGTTCTCGTCCAGCAGGAGAGCGTACTTACTCGAAGAAGAGTAGTGAAACAGGGGGAAAAGCTTAATGGATAGGCTTAGCTAAAGGAAAATTAGCGAATATGCGCAAGCACCGTAAATATTTCCCGTTATTAATATAATACAATTAAACTTTATTGTATATTCTTATTCGTTACAATAGGAAAAACTTGAACCATTTTTTGGTTTTTTCATTTCTACAATTTTGTTTGTTTGTTTGTTTTTTTGCTTAAATAAATTACTTGAAGAATAATATGCTATGATATATTTTGATTCCTTCTTTGTATATCGTTTAATGAAATTTTGAGTAAATATATCTGGAAAATAAATTAGGAAATATTTATTCAATGATATTAAAATGTAAGATTTACTTCATTGTGCCAGACAGAATGATATTGCTCTAGATACATGCTGATAACGTTTCGAATATCTTGGAATAATTTAAAACAATTACTTTTATTCATAAAAATATGGTTATTTAGATTACTGTTATTATATCATTGTAATTGAAATATAAACATTTAAAAATAAAATTAAACATTTTCACTTAACAATTACAGGAGTATTTATTTTTTCTTCATAAGAAGGAATATTATGATGATGGAATAACTGCAAACATCAGCATACACAGCCGTTGTTGGTACAATCCTACTGAATTAATAAATAATAAACTTCAATAATGTGTGGCATCGATCTAAATAATTTCACTGCTGCACTCGTTTTTGTATCGATTTGTTCAAGCTTTATTTAATAATTAAATTATAGTAAAATAAAAGCAATCATAATTGTATTGTATGCATCATAATTATATAATTTATCAAGGCTCGTAGGGTCTTTAAGGTGTACTAGTTCGTGCGTTTGTATTCTGTGTTTATTTCTCTCTATTTCTCTCTCTATCTCTATCTGTCTTTTGGAAAGCTAAATACGAACGAGTAAATGTATGTATACATACGTGTAGCTTGCACGACTTTAAAGGGAAAGAGAGTGAGAGGGAGAAAAGCATGCACGCGTCTCCTACCGGTAATTCGATGTAGATATGTATTTTACATATATAGAAATATTATATATATATACATATATATATATAGAAATATATACAAACATATACATATGCATATATATATATATATATATTATATATATATATATTTTGGTACATTCGCCAGATGGTTCAACCGAGATGCTGTGGCACCACGCTGTTCAAGAGAAGAGAACGCAAAGGGAAGGAGTGAGAGGGTGATGAGATGTTGGTGGTGGGAGCGAAACAGAGTACGGGGGTGAGCAAGATAGAGAGTTAGAGGGTTGGAGGGGGATGGAGAACGTAGAGGAGAACGGTCCAGTCGCAGTTCCGACACGGCACCGCGCGCGTCAACTTCGGATCAAATAGAGATAGACACGAGGTATAAGAAATCCGTCCATGATTTATTTGTCATTGCTAGTTTAACTTCCATTCTAACGTTTAGTCATTATTCTTTCGTTCGTTCGTTCCGTTCGTTCGTTCGGACGAGTCGAAACGAGATTGATATGTTCTCGTAAATATAATCTCGCATTTACGTTCGACTCTGTGGGAGAAATAACACGCGAAGAAAAAGTCATAAATAATAGGGTTGATATTTTTTTTTTTTGGTTCTTCTTTTTTTATTTCTTGTTATATCTCTTATTTTTTTCTTATTCTTATTCTTTTCTTAGGAACGCGTGTGTTCTTCGAACTATACACGTTAGATCGCACGCATTCGTGTATATGTACGTACGTACGTACGTACGTATGTATATAAAATATATAAAAAGATACGTATACGAGACCACGCGTTAAGTTATAATTAGCTTTGAGCGTGTTTCTCATCTTCTTTCTAGAAGAAGAGAGAGAAGGAGAGAGAGAAAAAGAGAGACAGACAAAGCTTCTTCGACTGGGAAGCTCTTATTTTGACTTTCAACGTCATCGAAGCAAGCCGGCCGTTCGGTAGTCTCCTCTATATATACGAATTTAATATTACTCGAGGAAGTAAACAGTGATTAAAAGATCACGAAAAAGTGATAAACGAATGAACAAATTTTGTATTGATCTTTTAGTGATCCTCGATCGTTCGATTGATTCTGCTCAGTTGTAGCTGTAACATAACACGAAAAAAGTGAAGAAGAAAAAGAAAGAACACTGGTGATAATGATAATAATAATAATAATAATAACAGCAATTACGACAAAATTAATATCGATAAAATAAATCAAATTTTTATAATATTATAAACAAAATAATAATAATAATAATAATAATAATAATAATAATAATAATCAATTAAGAAAAAAAAAATAAGAAATAAAATTCTCTACCAGAAATTTTGTTGATTGGCGGAAATTACATCGGCAAGGATTTTTATGGATAAAAAGAAAGTCGAGATAATACGGACGAGTTTCGATTTTCGAGCTTCCGACGTTCGTCTCTGCGTTGGGACCTCGTGAAACGACGTGAAAGGGTAGTGCGAATGAGGCGAACGCTTTCAAACCGATGAGATGACAGTGCTGTGCGTGCTGTGGGCTACTCTGTCCACCGTTGCATCGATCCTAGCGTGTTCTGGCTTTTATTTGCCTTATTGGATACAGGTAAACGACATTCACTATCCTACTCTACTTTTCTCTTTTCTCTTGTATAGTATTTTTTTTTAACTTTTTTTTTTATTTATACTGCATCGCGTTGTTGTCAACAATCACAATTATTCGACGTTATATATATATATCTCTCTTCCTCGTTTCTCTTTCTTTCACTTTATTTTACATTTTATTTTCTATTTTCCTACCATTCTCATTTCTTTCGTTATCCTTCCTTTTAATTTTTTGTTTACCCGATCTTCGATAATAACGAAGAATCAACTCTAAATTAGCTACTTTTCATCTTTCTCGTCTACCTTCCACGTGGAAAAAGAGAAACAACGAAAATATCACCCATCTTTCCTTACTACTGTTCTTTTTTTTTTTTTTTTTTTTTTTAAGAAAATCAACTTTCAGCATGCTGCGCTTTTATTATCTCGACAGAAGGATTTTTGTTATTATTTCTTTTTTTTATTTGTTCATTTCTTTCTTTTAAAGCAAGATTTTCCTCGTCTCGTTTTATTAATTCTTTTTTATTCTTTTTCTCGAACGATCGATTATAATATCGATGATAATATCGTTATAAATACGAACGAATAATCAATCTAAATAACGTATATATTTAATATTTCTTTTTACTCTCTCTCTCTCTCTCTCTCTCTCTCTTTCTTTCTCTCTTTCCTCTCTCTTTTTCTTTTTCTTTCTTTTTTCTCCCCTTTTTAATTTCATTTAATTACTTTTGCAAACGAGTCGACGTTTCAACGCTTGCGATAACGTTTTATAATAGCAATATTCAAGTATACGTAGGTATGTATATAGACGCACGATATATTATTTAAATTCGTTTCCCGTTCGCGATGTGTTCTTAGTTATGAATTACAAATTACGCGCTTGCTTGTTCACGTAGAAATTTAAGCTCGCTCGTCGAAATCGTTGTTTCGAGCGTAACAAAAAATAAAGGGAGCAAAAAAAAAGAGAAAAATAAAAACGAAAGAAGCGTAGAGGAATGAGAGGGAGGGAGTTAGGATAAGAAAAAAAAAATTCTGCGGTTTTCACAGTCCAAGCTTTAAGCGATTTACCAATTTTCAGGTCGAACTTTTAATGGACTGCAATAAATTGAAATCGAATGGCTTTAATTCACTCTTTCTAACTAACTGCGCACCGTTGATAATTATTTGAAAGTCGTTTTGTCTATATATGTATTTATGCACACAAGATTTGGTATATTATTTGATACATCAATTTTCGAAGATTTTGCATTTTATTTTTATTTTTATATCGCAGTCCCATCCCTCTCTCTCTCTCTCTCTGTTTCTTTCCCTCTTTTTCTACCTTTATATATCGATATTACTCTTGGTTCGTTTCGTTTGAACGAGATGCGTTACAAGAGAGAGAGACACATTGAAGTTCCTTGTTATATCGTTTAGTACGTATATTACATTCGGCGATACGAGCAAATCGTATGGATATTTTCAGTTTTATTTTACAGTCGATATCACCTAACACACATATATATATATATACACACACACACGCACACACAGATCGATCCAACGAGTTCTTACTCGTTGACATAGTATGCGCCGTGTACCATCTGTACATTCCTATATTTCGAAACGAAACCTAAGCATTTTTCAATACAAACGTTGTACAGGTAATCAGCGTATAACACGGTTGTTAGGTTTCAAAAAAATATCGTTTTATGGGAATCTCTGATATAAAAAATAAAGAACTAGTACAAAAAATGGAATTACATTTTATATATATATATAAAACATTAAAATAAAATATATTATTATATATTTGGATATAATTGAAAGAAATATTTGTATTAAAACAATGTTTTTGAGTTAGTTAGTTAATTGGTAAGCAATCGAGCGTTCAAATAATTCGAATTTCATTAAACCTAAATACTTTGGAATATTTTTTCTTATATAAATTATTGTGTTTATTTTTTATGATCTTACCTTTGTTCCTACATTACGTTCCGTATTGTTCAGGAATTTCTGTAATTTTTAAACGGGGTTAAAGTGACATCGTGATCTAGGATGCCATGTTGTACGTTATTTTCTAGAAGGTTTTTTTCCAATTCTTGAACTGTGTTAGAGCGAAACCGTGAAATAGAAATGCTGTTTTATACAGAGATTACTTGTAAAACTTTTAACAGATGGAAAATGTGTAACAAAATAACTCATTCGTAGGTATTATTCATTTGGATAACGATCATATCTTTGCGTTTTCATAATTGTTACTTCATTGTTTATACTATCACATAACATATTATAATTTTTTGTGTATATATATGTATATATACTATATATGTGTCGGATTGAAACATTGTAATCGAACAAATTTACTTATTAGTGATAATGTAATCGTTAATGAACGTATTACGGACACACATAATCGTTTACAAACAAACAAAATCACTATTATCCGTTAGATAGTTTATACGATAGTCGTTTTAGTTAAAACCATTTGTAGTATAAACTTGTAATTTATCGTTTTCATAGACACACTAATGTGAAAACAGTTTAACAGCAGCGATCAACGATATAAAGCAAATCAAAGGACGTCGATGTATAATGCAATAGATACGTTTAAACCAACATCATGCAACATGTAGGAATTAACAGATCAGTGAGATTTCAAACGAAATTTTGAAAAAAGCAGTAGATTTTACGAGCTTTGTTCGAAATCTCTAATTAAAATATATTCGATATTTTTCATTTTTTTTATATTTTTTCTTTTATTTTTGTTTTTTTGTTTAGATAGACGTATTATATATAGATACGTAAATCATGTTTCCATCCTTTGTCTTTTTATTTTTATTCGGTGAAAATCAAAAAAGCACTTTGATGCATCGTATATATGCAGAGAAATTACAAATGCATATACGCATCAATATTATATATTCGTCGATATTGTTGATCGCGAGCACTTTGTTAACGTTGCACCAGAAGATGAGCTTATAACTGCATAAAGCAGAACGGTTAGGTAGTACGATAAAATGTTCCCATTCAATTAACGATTCCAAATAATATGAAATTGAGATTACATGGTGACGATAAATCAATACACGCACTCACACACACACACACACACACACACACACACACACACACACACACACACACACACACACACACACACACACACACACACACACACACACACNCCCCTTTCTTTTTTTAAATCCGGATCTTTAAGTCCATCATCATCGTCATCCTAAATTCGCTAGACCTAAAACCTCTTGAGAACTTTCCACACACACACACACACACACACACACACACACACACACACACACACACACACACACACACACACACACACACACACACATATATATATCATTTCTTTCGAATTATTTCACATTTATATTTTTATATTATTACCTACGTATAAAGGTATGTTACCTTATTTTTCTTTTCTGGTAAGTGAACGAACCAACCAGAGAAAAAGAAAAGAATAGAAAAATGATGGCGGTATAAGGTAGAACATCGTACACACGTATCCCTTTCCTAGTAGCACATAAATCCGTCTTTGCCGTACGATCGGTTTACGTCCGTAAGTAGTGTAACATAGAATGTGAGAGAGAGAGTAAGAGAAAAATAGGGGGTAAGGTAGATAGAGATAGAGAAAAGTAGGGGTTGCTTCGAACGGTTGGCCCCGACGTAGAACTTTACTCGTAGCTTTTTTACACGACGATACGAATGACGTTTCTAGCCGCGACGGATATCCGGCCGTTGGTTCGTTGCTTCGCGGAAAAGCGCGATACGTCCAACCAATTGGCCGATCTCCGTTGAGAAATGTTCGTCTCATAGACCCACCCTTCTTATACCATCCCTTTCCCTTATCATCCCCTTGCCTCACCTCCTCTGTTTTTTTCTCTTTTTCCTTATTTCCTCTTCTCGGCTCCTTACATTCGTTTCCTTTCGGCTAGAAACGTCTTCTGCGACACACGCTTTAACACACACAAACATCGAGCTTTTACAACGAAAATAGAAGAAAGGAAAGAGAAAGAGAGAGAGAGAGAGAGAGAGAGAGGGACTTATCGTCAAGCGAAAGTATAGTACTCGCAGTTTTTCCTTCTTATTTTTTTTCTCCTACCCTGTCTTTTCTTGTGAAGATGGAAGGATATGGTATATAGAGAGAGAGGGAGAGAGAGAGAGAAAGAGAAACAGAGTCGATCGATATTTTTGCGTATATACGCGTGAGAATGATATACAAAAGTAATACAAGTAAAGTAACACAGAAGATGAGTTAAATTGATTTATTATACATATTCTTAGTTTTTGGCAAAACATACGGCGTTATATGTATTGATGGAATTTAGGTTAAGAGATACATGAAATAATTAATGAGAGTAATATATTAATGAAATAATACATTAGGAAATAAATATGATATATTTTTAACATATTATTTCATTTTACTTTACATACCTGTATGTGTCAACGTTATATTATATACTTCGGTTAAATCGTAAAAATTGTAGGTCTTATCCGAAACAACTAGACGTATTTGGGAAAGTATATAAAAATAATTTTATTATAGATTAAAATTAGTAGTTCTAGGAAATAAAGAGGTTAGATATGAATTCACAAAAGACGAGTAGTTATTAGGTGGATAGAACAGCATGACTAACAGAAAATCTATTTTCAAAGGATAAAAAGAGATAAGAATGGATCTACGAGTACTCATTGTTCGGGTTTATTTTATTTTCGTTTTCATAGTTTTCCAAGGAAATGAATTTAATCCTTTAAATCAATAGAGAAAAACTCTATTTTAAGATTAAATAAGCCTTAAAACAAAAAAACATATTTTCTGTCTCCGGATTTATAACAATGCAGTATAAGCAGGAATTGAAACGAAATCGATAAATATTTTTCCTATACTTGAGATCACATTTCTATTTAATACTTTAACTATTAGCTTTTTATATATTCAAATATTATTTACTGAAAGTATGTAATTTTGCCTTTTTTCATATTTAAATAGGTTAGTATAGTTATTGTTAAAAATGTAGCTGGTCATTTAACGAATTAACAAATTTCACAAAGTAACAGCAACGTACAGTGAGTGTCCGTTAAAATCGTACACCGTTATGCTTACTAGATTTTTGCTTGAAAGCTATTAGTATAGTATGTTTAAAATGAAGAACATTTAGAATTAAATGCAATAACATATTTTAATTTCATATTAAATGAGTTTAACTTAAAAGCTTTGTTTATAATAAATACAGAAATAATGTATGGAAAACTTCCGTATCTTAAAATCGTACATGTTAGTATAACTGTAAAAACAAGAATAATGCAAAATACATTTGTTAAAAAATTACCTATCTATTAATATACCTCGAATATTAAACAATTTCGATCTGATATTTAATTCGATGAAAATTTTCAACTTGAAATTTTGGCTGAATAAAAATGTTACAAAATAAAATATATGTTAGTTTAAACACAATCCTAAATATTAATAAAATACATTAGAGTATTAAACATACCTTAAATGATTGTTAATTAATCAAAGGAAATGCATATTGTAGTCTAAAAATACGGAAAATAAGTTCGCCGTACCGTCCTCTTCGAAATACACTGTTAGACTGGCTCGTTGTCCTCTATAAAAGTCAGTTAAATTTCTTTTATTGATTGTTATTTATATTACTTCCCGAAGATAATATAACGAAAGTAATATGTGTGCGTGGTAAATAAAATTTATTCTTCTGAGTGACATATAAATAACTTTCAATAAAAGTATTTTTATAGAGGACAATGAACCAGTCTAACGTTGTATTTCGAAGAGGACGGTACGTCGAACTTATATTCCGTGCTTTTAGACTACAATATTCATTTCCTTTGATTAATTAACAATCATTTAAGGTATGTTTAATACTCTAATGTATTTTATTAATATTTAGGATTGTTTTAACTAACATATATTTTTTTTTGTAATATTTTTATTCAGCAATAATTTCGAGTTGAAAATTTTCATCGAATAAAATATCAGATCGAAATTGTTTAATATTCGAGGTATATTAATAGATAGGTAATTTTTATACAAACATACTTTGTATTATTCTTATTTTAATGGATATTAAATTGATTTTAATACTAAAAAATATTTAAATAACAGTAAAAAAAACACAAAGGATGATTAATCGTTAGACGTAGTACACCTCCTGTTTTTACAATTATACCAACATGTATGATTTTAAGAAACGAATATCTTCTGTATAGTATTTTCATATTTTTTTAATCCTCTTGTTATAAACAAAGCTTTCAAATTAAACTCATTAAATATGTAATGAAAGTATATTGATGCATTTATTTTTAAATTTTCTTAGTCTTAAACATATTATATTAATAGCTTTCAAGCAGAAATCTGGTAAGAGTAACGGTGTACGATTTTAAGGAACATTCATTGTATATAATATAGAATAGTTAAGAATTGTATGATTGAGTGTGTACGACAGTTAAGGGCCATCATCGTTAATACTTGATTTTAGTCTCATAATTACACGACGTAATCGGATTATAGGAACGTCAGTATATTTCAATAAATTAGTCGGTAGTAGGTATTCCTTTGTTGGAAATTACCAGCGAACGAACGTGGTCTACCGAGTCAATATTCGAGTATTAGCGGATTCGAACTTTATTATCCGCATAATGTCGCACTGAAGCGGGCGCTCTCTGACGAAACAATAGATATTTAATGTTATATTCATCCTCGACGTCTCGTTTCTGAACGATGTTGAGAATGATTGTATGTGTGTATAAGAGAATGAGAAAAGGGTAGAAACAAACGAAATTTTACGCACATAGGATCAAAGTGTACGGAAAACCAGCGCAACGTTGCGTTACATTTGCATAAGAAAACAGGAATCTCCAAACGTGTTATCCTACCTTTTTATTTTCAAGTGTGTCGACCAGCTGCGAATTTACTTATCTCTCCTCGGATTTACACCTACGTGCACTCACGATCTTTCTGGTAAAAAATTTCAAACGTTATAGAGTAGTTACCTTCCTTTTAATTTATTTTTTTTTTTAATCATTTTTCTCCACGATGTAGAAATTATTTTAATAAAATTGTTCGCGCTGAATAATCCTATATAGTTTCGGATAGATAAATAAATTATTTTTATGCAACGATAAATAAAAGTAAAACGTTAAAATATGTTAATACTTTGTTAAACATTTGTATCTTGAAAACAAATCAAATTGTGTATACAGGATTAGAAAAAATGATATTAGAAAATTCAAAAAAGAGGGGTTAGCGATGGTGTAAAATTTTATCCAAGAATGTACCATAGATCTTGCATATGTATGTAAAATCCTTCGATTTTTTATCTCCCCTTTTTTTCTCTCTCTCTCTCTTCACCGTGATTTATACGAACTTGCAAAGTTTACTTTCTCCTTTTTTGTCTCCTCTTTTAGATTTTCTTTTTCGTTCTTCTTTTTCCTACTCTTCTTCTTCTTCTTCTTCTTCACCGTCTCCTCTTCTTTTTCCTTTTCGTTTTTCTTTTTCGAGCCTCCTATGAAGGAGACGCTGCCTGATTAGGATTCTTAATCGACCGAAACCTGGCGCCGTTGTAGTTTCGAAGTCGCCGCGCGTTTTTGTTTGAGATAACGCTAAGATAGTGTGCAGTATCCTGGCAAAGGATACCTTGGAAGAATATGCGAAGCGTACGAGCTCGAGGTAACGCAGTTATTAGCATACCGATGGTTCTCGAAATTGCCACATTACAAATTCTGCATGAGAGAGCACGAGATAGACAGAAAAAGGGAAAGAGAGAGAGAGAGAGAGAGAGAGAGAGAGAGAGAAATATTATAAGATAATAACAAATAAAGCATTTAAACAACCTACCTGAATAATTCGATTATTATTAGCGATTTAAATAAATCTTTCAAACGATACTTTTCTTGGTTTTGAGGTTGACGTAATCCCACGTTAATAATTTCTTCGTAAGCGTAGAGAATATATGCTGGTAAATTTTCTTTTCTTTTTTTTTTTATTTTTATTTTTAAAGGGAATAATATATTTTTCTATGTACCATTTAATAGGGCATATTTAAGACATGGAATTACTTTGGAGTTTTTATTATTGCTCTCTTTTTTTACTTAATAAATAAAACTAAAAAATAGATACGTAAAGCGTAACATAGTAAATATATTACAGCTATATAACATGGGATTATGCTACTTTCGAATCCAAGTAGTAAATTTCGTCTGGAACGTAGTATTATTTTTTATCATCAATAACAACGAGTTATTTAGGTGTTTCGTTTTAAATATCTTATCCAATATATACATTTAAATTGACTATATATTATTTCTCCATAAGATATTTTTCATAAATTTATATAATATATAAAATATAATTTATATATCTTTTTAATAAATATCAATTATAAAATATGAAAGATAGAAAAGAGATTATATGGAAGCAATTATATCAACACCCTCCCTACAATAATTTTGATTTATGAAAACATGTGGTTCACGAAAGTCGGCTGTTTCAAGGACTTCATCACATGATTTATATAGGAAACTTTACGATTTTAGCCAATTAGGAGTTACGGAAGTCGTAACATTTACACGCTCTGTGAGATTCAATTTATCGCTAATCCAAAAAGAATGTTTCGCGACTCGATGGTATCCTTCGTACAGATTTGTATAAGTAGATTATTTTTTCTTTTTTCCTTTTCTCTTTCGTTTTTTCTCTTTATGAAAAATGAAAAAAAGAGATTTCGAAACGAAAAATGCGACCATTTTAGTCCGAGAATATTCTCTCTTTTTGCCGTTCCCACGCAAATTTTTCTTCATACTTACTTATTTACGTAGTTACTTACTTATGAAAATACTTTAGCATGTTAGCCGATATACATAGCTGTGTAACGCGAAATAACGAGAACGTTGAAAAATGAACGCGTTCAACACAACGATAATACTTAGAAAACCGTCCTCCGGTCGTTATTTTTTTTCTCTCTGTCTATCTTTCTCTTTCGCACTATCTTTTTTTAATCCGATTTTACGCAGAGTAAACGCGGAAAAATTAAATGGATACGAATTTAATCACGTGTTCGTTTAGGTATCTGTTAATCAAGCTCAGGCTTAATGATTCTTTTTCTGAAACGTTTTGGCTTTCTCTCTTTCTCTCTCTCTCTCTCTTTCTCACTCTTTTTTTAGTATTTAAATATATTTGTTTGTTATCTGTTCGTTTCATCACAGCTCGTTAAACTAACTCGTTCAATTTTTCTATAAAATGATATATCATCGCGATACAATGAAAAAACAATAATTGTCTCTTTAATAAGGCCAATTTATTTTGTTACTGGTTTTTATTCGTCGATTGACGCTCGTTAGAAATGTTACAAAAAAAAGAACTTTTTTCTAAAAGGTTGAAATTGATTTTCCGCAACATCAACACTTTCTTATATTTTGAAACATTTTAGTATACTTTCTTGATTCTCTCCTAAAAAGAGGAAATTTCAAAGAACGTTTTTCCGTCATATTTTTCCACAGAATCGCATCGTAAAACACGGCCGCGTAAGATCGGTGCGTGAAGCGTGAAGCAGACCTTTTTCTGGTCTACCCTACCCTATATGCATAGGACCTTAAAATAGCGAATGGTAAGCGCACACCGACGTCTGTTTAGATTTATGTCTACACTTTTCAGGGACGACTACTGGGAAAGGCCGACGCGTACTTCAGTTCCTTTCGACGTTGCAACTATCCACGAATCAGAGCACCTAACGCTACACCTGAGATAGTTTACCAGTGTGCAAGGTACTCTAGGTATGTATGTAAATCTATGTTTATCTATGTATTTATGTATGTGTGTATTTAAATATGTAAGGGTCGTATGTATCCTCATACTCATTGGTTCTTCCTATAGACATATCTATGTACGTATACGTTTGCGGTTCGTTTGTGTGTACACGTGCCGCCCATTTGCCCGCATTTCCGCGACCGGAACCGCATCCTCCTCGTTTAGCGCGACCAGAAATTCCTGAATGTATCACCACTGTGCATGCTCGAAAATGGCAAATATCGTCCGCGCCATTGTTTGCCAAAACTGAATCTCTTCCTTTGAATTTTCATATATACGCGTCTACGCTTGTATTTTTCCGTGTGAAGTTTTAGGCGTTAGTGTAAGTTAGATGTGTAAGTTACACGTAACAATGTAACGCTTGTATACCTGAGCTAGTGGAAAGATATTTGAGAGGTAGACAGAAATTCGAGACGCATGAAAAAACAAAGCTTTTCCCTTTGAAATTTTTGTTAAGCGCATGTGTGTTCGTTTGAAATTTTCTACAATTAATTATGACAGATGAGTGTACGTGTTTATTTCTATTTGTACATTTGTCGCCAGGTATCTTTAGGGTTGGTTTATAGCTAACTATAATAGATAAAATAAAATTATTTTATTCCCTTTTTTTTCAGTTCTTTTATTAATTGTTTAAAATCATTTAGCAGCGAGGGGAAATATTAATTTAAATAAATTTTTTTTTTTATTCGAAGATCGGGAAAATTGTTTTTAGATTGAAACGAGAGTGTAGAATAAAAATTTTAGTTTATATGAAAACGTCATTTTACGAGTTTTATCGATGAGCGTAAATAAATTTACTGAAAATAAATTTTTGCTAACGAAGATATCAAAGTGCTATCTGTGAAAGAGGTATATAAAAAAAACATACTAATAAAACATTAATTCCACGATACGAATGCAAATAGGATGAACGCTCACAGCCGATTACTGTTTGAAAAAAGACAGAAAATTAACGAAATAAAAAAAAAATATATATATATATCGTATTTCTGGGTATTCTATCTAAAGTAAATAATTGTAGGACCAACGAATTCTGAGGGATACAATTGATTTAACTCTTGCGTTTCTATCAGACATATTCAATTGAGAAGAAACGTTAACATTAATGATTGCCTATCGATGTCGCAAATATTCATCAATATTTGTTCATCAGTAATCGATCTAATTCCATTTAAACTTATCCAATATTTTCTGCGTTACTCGTTACTAATTTTGCGAAAAAAAAGAAGAGAAAAAAATAAACATGAAACAAAATAAATGGATATTTTCGTTTATACGATATGGGGTAAATTAATTCTCAAATAATTGATATCGATTTAAAAATAATTTTGCGAAAACTGATGAAACTCTATTATTTCTATAAAAATCGGTTGATTTAAAAATGTATTCAATATTTTGAATATAATAAATACTGTTAAAACATTCATTTTCAAACATATATACACACAAAAAAATGTTTTATTATTTCTTATTATTTAAATATTATTATATCTACGTAATACTTTTATTATATTATTTAATATATACATATATATATATAGATTCGAATTAAAGGGTTACACAGACTTTGCTCTCGGAAAAACAAAAAGAAAATTTTTGTATTGACGTAACTTTTAAGTAGCATCACTACCCCACGGGTCTGACACTTGTCCCGTGAGCCAAAAGTATAACCCGAGAAGGGGTTGACAAAATTTGAAAGTCGCGTCAAACAAAAATTTTCTTTTGATGGTAGTTTTTATGAACGTCAAGGTGGTATAACCCCTTAAGTCAACGACTTACCCACGTTGAATTATTAATTGCTGGCCGATCACTAAAGTCAACCAACGTGGACATAGTTATTAATATAGATGGGTGACCCAAAATCCGGCGAAATAAAAGAAAATACAACCGTGTGTAAAAAGACGCGATCTCTTTGATAATATTGAATAAGTGTAAGAATGATTCGAAATCCTCCAAAAAAAAATAATAAGATAAAATATAAATTCGAGTGTAAATTGATAATTATATCATTTAGATATTCAATCGAAAATCGTTTTATTCAATTCCAAACTTGGCCAAGAAATAATCTTATGAATCGTAATGCATGTATATATTCCATAGCATTCAAAACAATACTAGTAACGGCTGTCTAGTATTCGTTGATAGCCGAACTTGGAATTAATTACGAGCGTGCAAGGTATATCGCGGGAGGGATGACGTATAAATTATTCTGTAACTGGCAACAGATATCCCGAGCGTAACGTAACGGAGGCAAACAATGACAACGATCAACACGGGATAAAGCGTCCCAAGCGAAGCTGTTGAACGGAGCTGTATACTCATACATACGTATATAGATACATACACTTGCACAGATATCTTTCGTAATTATCAGAAAGACGTTTAATCTTTGTCATCTTAAGATAGAAGAATTTGGAAACTTATTGAAATAATAAAAATAACATTTTTTACAACGAAGAAAAATGGATAAAAAGATTTTTTATTAATATTTTTTATTAAATTTATTTAATATTTTTACATGATATCTCGATTAATATATATTTAATACAAAATTAATTAGATATACATATATAGTTATTTTTCAGTAAATAAAATATATGGGACAATCTATTGTTATGCCTTTTATATTAGATTATGTTTTTAGTAATGACTCATACTAGATATTCAACATGTTAAACATTTTTTTTTTTTTTTATAGATATTCTCGATATACTTTTATAGAGAAATAGCAGAAATTCTTTTCTCATATAAATATAGATATTTATATTAAAATAGTCGAGGTACTTCGTTCAATGTAGAAAATGTTTTGGTAAATTTGTATAAATAAGTTTTCAAATATATTCTTAACAAACGAGAGATTAAAAACAAAAAAGTATATAAAATATTTAATAATAAAAGATCAAACGGAAAATATATAAAATTTGCAGTTTCTGGGATATACCAAGTGCATGGTGGCAAGCCAGTACGGTAACGATGGGGATCGGTGTATCGATCGCAGTGATCGGTGCTTTGACTCTTCTAGCAGCTGCATCTTCTTTTCTACCGCATATTCTAAGGACTCCGAAGCATACGAGGCTTCTTGGTTCCATTCATTTCATAGCAGGTGAGTAGTCCTTTTCTCGTTTAACAACAAACTGCATTTCTAACGCATATAATCCATCAATTATCAATATAATACAAATAACTCGCCTTGGAATCGTGGTTGGCGATTTGCTCCTAGTTAGAGGAAAGGAGAGGAGAGTAGGTATCATAGCATTCAAAGTTTAGTAGATGATCGTTCTCGTCGATCTTAATCAAGAGTAAATAACTTTACGGCTTGTACTAGTAAACCGTGATGGAACGTTTAACGTTTGGTTGCTTCTAAGGTATGCGATTTAATTTAATTGTACGTTTATATACGTATTGCATATTTCAAATTCCATTTGCGGATGCGTTTCGAATAAACTAAACTTTTTCTATAGCTGTTAACAAATACCTCTATCCCCTTTTCAATCAATATTTCAAATTAAATCGAATATACGATTAAAATCATTTGATCGATTATATTGTACAATTCTATACGAATTTATTTTTCCTCTTTTTACAAAAATACCTCAATGTGTAATTCGAAATATAAGAAAACGGTCTTGAAAAGAGAAACCATATTGGATATAGTAATAATCTCGAATTTTCAGAAAATCGAGAAATTTATCCTCTCACCGAAAGCCTATCGAACTTTCCACGTTCCTGTTAAATGGTCCCGCTTATAACTGAGTTCCTTGAGGTAATCCTTCGATCGACGTTGCTATCCTTGAGATAATCTACCACAGAATCGAGTTTATCTCGTCGTCGTCGTCGTCGTCGTTGTCGTTGTCGTCGTTGTCGTCGTCGTCGATGTCGATGTCGTCGTCGTTGTCGTCGTCGTCGTTGTCGTCGTCGTCGTCGTCGTATTCGTCGAGCAACCACCTTACAGCGGTGAACCGTGACATTTCTGGAATTTCTCGGTTTCGAGCGTGTTTCCATCAAGGAGAGTGGGAAGATCGATGGTATCTCTACATGGAAAGTTAGTTCAGCTATACAAAGAGAGACATCGAAACAACATAGGTTTCCTCCTCTTTGTATTATTCTACTCCTTCTTATTCATACTATTATTCTCCTTATTTGTTCTATAGTTTGTATTATTTTATGGAATAGAACATCAAAGCTAATGACAAATATTCTTATATACTGTGTATCTTTCGTCTTTGGATTACAGCTGCAATGATATGTGGTGGTTTGGTGATGTACCCTATTGGATGGGACAATCAAGAAGTACGTGAGTCCTGCGGCAAAGCTGCGAACGTGTACAATCTCGGTGAGTAAGCTGTTTCTCTCTTTCTCTATTTATCTTCCCCTCTCTCTCTCTGTCTCTTTCTCTAGTTGTAGAAGCAAGCTCGTCATTTCCTACTAGTAGAATGGTGCTAATCGCCGATGTAAGGGTCGACCGCGCAACGATCATTACGCACCTCGTATAACCACGGAACCTAACGACGCTCTTATTGTAGCTTTCTCTTTCTCTCCTTCTCTCTTACTCTCTCCCTTGGAACTTTCTGCATCCTCGAGGCAGGCACGAGCTCTCTCATCCCTTTTCACGTTAGTTTATGAACCTAAGCTGTATCGCGGACTTACGCTACTTGTTCGACCGTAACACTAACCTTCCTAACCGTTTCCTGCTATCTGTTTCTCTTGTTTCTTCATTATGATGTTTCTCTCTCTCTCTCTCTCTCTATCTTTTTCTTTTTATCTTTTCCTTTCTAGTATTCTATTTTTATTTGTAACACATGTATACAGATATATATATATATATATACATTTTTTTTTTTTTTTAATTTATTGCGCACAGACCGTACTAACAAACTTGTCTAATTAAAATTCTAATCTAATTTGCTTTCGTTTTTTCGTTCTCTTTTTTATCTGTCTGTCTGTCTGTCTGTCTGTCTGCCTGCCTGCCTGCCTGTCTGCCTGCTTGCTTGCTTGCCTGTCTCTTTCTTTTTCTTTCTTTTTATTCTCTTTCTGTTCCTTCGGAAAGGGTTAATCAATTTGAAGCTTCCGTCGCGACCCTATCCCAAAGAATTCTCCAAGGATTCCGAGAGAAATGAACTTATCTGCGACCGATCGACCCGACAGGAAACTGTTACTACGCGCTACCGCCCCTGAAATTAACTTCTCGCGAAAACGTTTTCGATCACCGAGATTTTTCCGCGATTTATTGTCAAATGAAAAAAAAAAAGACAAAAAGTAAGAAAGAGAAAGAGAAAGAGAAAGAGATAGAGAAAGAGAGAAATAGCAATGTCGTGTCGTGTTTCTTACGGTTCATCCAACGATTTGATTATAAGCAGACTTTTTACGTATTAAATCGAACCACCTAGGTGATCCATTTATGCTAGATTATTTTCGAATAAATTTAATGGACGTTCAACGACATTTCGTAGTCACGTTAAATTGACAATGGTAAGGAAAATTTCTCTTAACGCTTTCTTTTCTTTTTTTTTTTCTTTTTTTTTTCTTTTTTCTGGAATGTTACATACTTTTGTGAATGGTAGCAGTGCTTTGGAAGGAAATCTTTCGAAAAAGGATTTTTGTAGAAAGTTTAAATCGAAGCAGATAAAGAAAGAAAGAGAAAGAAAACTGTAGAGAAAAGGAAAGTCATTTTCCTTAACGAAATAGACTTAAAACTGCTATGTACTTACATTCGTATGTATTTGTACACGTTTGTACGTTAGTATACGTGAGCTCGATTTTATCTTCACACGTTTTGCACGCGAAGTATTTCCTACTTTTCGATTTCCTGTATTATTTTTCTTTTTTTTTTTTGTCTTTCTTTCTTTTTTATTCTATTTTTACAAAGATTTTCCGATATTCGTTCTATGTACTACAATAAGCAGTACGTTTTTACAATATTATCCATTCTAGCGTAAAAACTGCTAATGCCAGCGGTAGATAGTTACGTTGGTATTACCGTTTTACCGATAAGAATGATAAGTGCTAATACGCGAATTTTTGTTAACGTCTAAAAGAGAACACGCGTCTTTCATCAAGATATACATATATTTGTATTAAATGTTTCCTTTTTTATTTATTTTTCTCACATACACTTTAGAATTTGTCTCAGATAGACATTTGGTAAATTGTTATATTTGTAAAAAGATAGCGCGTGAACGATGTATTCATTGAGATAATAATGTCACTATTGATATTTATTTCTCATAGTTTAATTTTTTACTAGGTCTCTTCCCAGAGTGTATTCTTTTGAGTTTTCTCGGGATAAATATGTTGATAATAATTATCGTTGATTAGTTAGTTTTTAATCTAGATGTAGTCTTAAATACTTGACTATCGTTACTTGTAGAATTTCTCTATTATTATATATAATTTTAGTTTAGGCATTTGATTTTTCTTAATTTTTGTACGTAATATTATATGTTTACAATTATTAAAGTTTACTGATGAAATTTCACAGGGAACTTGGACATGAAAGAAGTAGAACTATGTTTGATTTAGTTGGACGTTTCGTCCCTTTATTGGGACTTCTTCAGCAACT